CCTTGCAGCACATGATGAGAAGCTGGTGGATAACGCAGGCTCCAATGGCCTTTCTACTGCCCAGTGTTGTGAACACAGCACAGGTCTGAACTCAGCCTGACTCCAGCTGGTGTCTCCGCACTCACCCATACGTGCTACGGGCAAAGGCCGCCTGCCAGTTCTCATGGACTTAAAAGTGTTCTGGCAGCACATGCAGCAGGATATATGCTTGTGGAAATGGACAACCGCAAGCTGATTGCAGGAGGGTGGCCTGTGGCACTACTACTGGAATTCCAGTGGGAAGAGCTGCTGCTCCTAGCCACTGATGCATCACTTGTTCTCATTCCAAGTATGGAAGCCAGACATCAACGCCCCGTGCCCATTGTGGTCGGTTAGTCTAATTGAAGAAAAGAGTTTGGCTCTGAGGGGTCCAGGAAAATCTCCCCTCTGATATGTGAACACCCTCGTCAGTCTGTTGTATACCACACACTTTAGGAGTGATTTAGTGATCAGGTGTCACATGAAGTAAACTTCACTGATTGTACATGTTCCTTATGTTTCCATGTCTCAGATATTTTAACATGGAAACCATATCGGCGTTGAAACAGAGCAGAAAAAAATAAAGAAGAAAAACATCACTGAAGGATTTTGGAAAATGTTTGTTCCAGAGAGAAAGGAGGTGTGCCATTTGTTAAAAACATTTGATTTATGGTTTTGGGATTCAGTAACTGAACTGAGGGAGGCATTTTGGACAATTTAAGGGAATTTAAAAAAGATTTAAAATCTTAGTAATATGCTTGTGTTCAACATTAAGCTTATCCTGCTCATTACATTTATATATACTGTATGTATATGTGTATATATATATATATATATATACATACATATACTGTCTTCAGTATTGCACTGTTTTTAGTTGCTGTATAGAAGGACTACACCCCTGTAAGACTTTGGTTACGTTTCAGCTATTTTATATTAGTTATACTAACTTGAAGTTACTTAATACTAATTATTACTAATTTACTTAATACTTTATTTTACTAATTATTACTTAATATAGTAAAAATCTACTAAGTTATATTTAACAAGATATTTGTGTATGTTTGGTCCCTATTACGCTCAATGTGGGCCATGATATCTAGCATGCTCTACAAGACAAAAGACAGACCAGTTATTTACACTACTGAAGCCAAGTTGAACATTTTTCATCAATGCATGATCAAAACGTTCAGACGAAACATATTTTGATATTTCAAGGGCTTTTTGGCTCCGGCTGATTTTGCTAAAGAGGAGTTGGTGTAGCTGTGCTGCCTCAATGTCATTCTGTCAGTAGTGGTAGTTGATACAGTATCTGTTTAGTATTTACCACAATGTGTTCAGTTTGAAAAATCTGAGTGATATTAAAGCCACTGTAGTCCAGGGAAGGGTAGAATCAAATTAGTAATCATGAATTGGAATCATGAAGTTAATTATTTTTTTAAAAAGGTGCAATATTTATTTTATTTGTTATTATGTTATTTGGTTTATCGGGTTTATAATGAAATCTAATAAAAAACATCAAAACAAAGATGGTTTAAGTCACAGAGAACTGACTGAATTAGTTTGACAACTGCACGTAGATCTAATGTCTGAGATTCATTCCACTATAATTTTATCATGTAATACCCCTTACTTTAAAATCAAAGAGTGACTAAACATAGTAACAGAATTGTTCGCTTTGGAACTTGACCTCTGGCCATTGTTGCTCTTGAACTCCACCTTTCACCTTTGGACAAGTTTGTTCAGATACAAAAATAGACACAAAGGGAGAAGATGTTACGTCTGGTGTGTGTGGTCTGCTTTAATTCAAGATGGTGCGTCGCCCCCACACATGAACACACGGAACAAAACATTTTTTGGATGTAGCCACAGAGCAAGACAGTGTTTAGACTACCCACAACCCCTTCTACCCTCTTCTCCCCCCCAGCTTTGGCTGCACATCTCCTGCACTTAAAACACTGGCCAATGCCCTCAGCATCAGGTCCCTCCCTGAGGCTCAGAACATTGTGAAATGTTTACTGTCAGGATGAAAATAAATGTGCAGTGAAATAGTGCTACCATGAGAGAGGGTATTCATTTAAGATGTTTACACCGAGAACTGAATATCTGCACTAAAACATTTTACTCATTATTCTGATAAAATGGCCGTGAGCCTTTCTCTGGAACATTACTCTTAATACCTTCATGCAGTGTTGTTTCCAAACATTCCCAGTTGGAAACTAACCGCTTCAAAATCCTAATCATAAATGGGAAAACCAAACAGAGCCCTCATAATAAATGCTCATACTGTATACATCTCCTGTGACTGCAGTGATTACACGGTCGGCTATTTATTTTCCGTATCGCTGTCCAACTGCTCACATTGGTAACATTATAGAAAGAATTACAGTATTTAAAACTGGGCAAACATCCACGAGTTTCACATCACCGCACAGCCAGGCAGCAGCCTCTTATAGAACTGTGTTATTGTGTTTCAAAATCATCACCTCTGTCATCCCGCCTCCTCCAGACTACAAGTGATAATGATGTATCTTGCTCCATAATGGGTGTGAACACAGGGTGAAGCAGCTGGAGGAGTGAAACCAGCGTCTGCGTCATCCCAGCGAGGTGTTAACCTAAGACTAAAATGAATGTTACCACAGAAAAAATAGTCCTCGTCTCACTTCAGAAACGTATATCACCTTGTGAGCTGTAAGAAAATGAATTCTAATGTGTATGTATGTTAAAAGTAACTCCTTTTAACAGAAAGTCTTTCTACAACACACGACGACTGGCATGTTAACCTGGGGTGAGTGTGTGCTGTGACCGTTACAGAAGAGTGACCTCAGTGGAACCTTCTGGACACGTGAGGAGCAATGCGAAGTAAAATGCTCTCTTTGTGTGTGTGAGGCGACGTCACGGATAAGCAAACAAAGCTCAATTGGACATGAAGTGGAATTAAAAAAAGAAAATGTCAATGCCTCCCAAATATAACTTGTGATGGATAAATATAAAAGGATGAGAAATTTGAAAAACAGTCCTGGCTTTGAGGCACATAATGGTGCACTGTTGGTTGTAGTTTAGGGTGAAAAACACTCCAAAACACAGCAGAAGACTCATTTCATCGGGGACACTGAAAACGTTGGTCTGGACCAATGAGCTTACATGATTAGTTTGACTTTTGGATACGTTTTTTTTTTAATTTTTAAACAAAATGTTCCAGGCCATTCACCTAAAACTAATGATGATGTTAAACACTGGTTTACTTAAATAAATAAAGCTCCTGTGGGTTACTGTATGTGATGTTCTTCTCAATATTGAACTCTTTTGGTACTTGACATGGAGGTGGTAGGTAGTAAAGGAGGAATTTTTTAAAGCAAGAAGGTTGTCAGTTCACATCAACAATTCATTGACGTTTGTTTGCTATTGGTTTGTTTAGCATTATCAAATAAGATAATGTGTCGAATTTACAATAGATTAGTAATCTCTCCTTTTTTTCCTGTTAATCATGCGTGGGTGATCATGTGTCTGTTGGGGAGATGCTAAAGGGGTTTTAGGGGGAGGGCAGCAGATCTGGATTTTCCAAGGTTTAATGGTCTCCTTAAAAGGACGTTGTGTGTTCTACGTAGCGATCATGTGCTGAGCACATGGATTGCGTGATGACATCACCCCGGGGTGACACGACAACACCGTGCTAAAAGGCCTCCATTCACAACCGCCATTTAACTAGTGCTAAATAACGCCTGTCTCAGTTAAACACAAGGTGTAACTGGAGGCTGTCCACAAGTGGCCACAACTCGACATGTATTTGCTAAGCATTACAGAAGAAAGGTAATTACAGCGCCGCATTGAAATACAAGTGGAAAAGTGAGCTGAAGATAAGCTCAGTTTACCCCGAGGAGGAAAACTTGTTGTTTTGGTCCCAGAACGTTAGGAAATTAAACCCCTTATTTCACCTTATACTGTAGTTATCCTTCCAATCTATGAGGTTCATTAAGAAGTTCCTCATTAATGCAATTCATTTATTAAATATATATTCAAATATATTACTTGTTCATAGATATTTGTGGTAAATGAACGGTAGTTTTCTAGTTTCTGCTTTTTGAAAATCTAGAAGACTGTTTCTCTCACGATTTTCTTACACTAAAACATTGAAGCAAGTAATACCACTAAGAGCTGAGTTTTTACTGTATTATATGTAAGATGTAAACTACTCTTTGAACTGTTAGTATTAGAGCAGGGATGGCAAACTCTCTGCCCAGTGACCATGGAAATCCCACATCCAGCCCACAACCAATAATTAATATTTATTTAAATTTAAATTTTGCCTTTTTTAAGGTTGTCTTTTTTAATGCATCTTTAATTTTTTTTATTTAGTTGCTCACTAAAGAACAATATAAAATGACTTTAGATAGATAAATAAATAAATAGAACAGACAGACATGTTAATACACGCACACACAACAGTCATGTATTTGCTGATCACGTGACTTTCCTCAATTAACTACAACGTCCTGGGGGGGAGATCCTCCCAGCTGCTGAGACATCGCCTCCGCACCAGTTACCAAGGTGACAATTTTTTTTTTCTTAACCAAAATAGAACTGAGAATTAGGGGATCCAATCCACTGATTTCTTTAATGTCCTTGACGTGCACATACTACGTGAAGTCCCTCTGTCCATTCTGGAAGATGACAGTGACAGTGGGAGTCTATTTTGGCTACAGTTAACCATGTGCTCTCCATTAGTCCATAGCCTGCATGTGCTGCAGTGCTGCAGTACTCTGCAGTAATTACTTGTTTGGTGCGGTGCTTCCTCTGCAGCCAGCCAGCTGCAGTAATCCCCACATGATAAATAGACTGAAGAACTGATGAGCTCAATTTTCAGAATTATAGTTTGGGGAAATAACCAGAGGGTTTGTTTATGCATGTGTGATGGTCAGATAAGGTCAGAGAGGAGAGGCTGAGAGGACACTCAGGGAGAGTCCAGCCCAGTGTCTGTTGGCTGTGTCGCTCTTATCAGATGTGGACTGTGCATATCATGAGGGCTTGTTTTAGAGCCAGAATTCAGGCCAGCCTTCCCATGAGGCATCTGTCTGTCTCTGCACGGTGCTAATTTTTGGGGGCTGCATGACCAAAAATCTGATCACTCATCACCACAGCTCGACCGAGGAGCAGGAAGCGGGGAGGATCCTCAAACGCCACAGGCGTGCTTAAAAATCTGAGCTGTGTGCAGAGAGGACAGACATGCACAGGTGCTGCTCCAGTGAGAGAGAGGAACGAGAACAGAGACAGGGACAGAAAAAGAGGGAGAAGAGGGGGGAGGAGGTGGAGGAGGAGACTTGAATTGCTTCAGAGGGGAATAGGAGCCGGAGAGCAATTCCAAAACAGCTGTCCGGCAGACGTCCCAGTCGACAGAAGTGCAGCCCCGAGGCAGAGACAGGAGGCAGGGCAGTGTCAACAAGCCGCAGCACAGCAGCACAGCAGCCACTGAACATTCACACACCGACAAATCCACACATCAGTGTGAGGCAGCAGCTTTTCTGAAGAGCAGCAGAGACACCCAGGAAGGATCTGAGATCTGAGAAGGATCTCTTCTCAGTCTGATATCTGAGGTAAGTGACAAATAGTCATGTTTGATTTTGATCTGTTTCTGATATGGCCATACATTCTGCAGGTGGAACAGGTTTCACTGTGACTGTGAATGTCCGCATTAGAATGACATTTCTGCTTGATAATCTATAAACATGAAATACATTTGTTGTCAAGCTCCCGTACATGCAACACAAAAGATTAACTGTTAGGAGCAACATGATATCCTCCGTACCTTCCAAGAGAGACATTTTAGTCCAGCTACACACTTAAGGCATGTTCCCATTAAAATGCAGGGTTGGCTTTGGTTTTAGGTCTCGAGAGAAGCCGATTAGGAAAACAGACTTTTAGAGGAAAAAGCTGGGAAAGGATGTTTTTTGCATGAATAGAAGTGTTGACATTCTCTCCTTGTTTCATATGCTTTGATTCTGCTTCCCCTGTTATCCCTGCCAAGGAAAACTCTGGCAAGTGTTGGCCATGCTTGTGGGTGGCACAAGGGGAGCAAGAATGAAAGAAAGTAAATATTCCACCCTACGATTCGCCCTTCGTCCCTGCACTACCACCAGGCCCCCAAAAGTAAAGCTTTTGCCTGTAATTGAGGTTTTTTTTAAGGAACAAAAAGCTTGGTCTTTTCTTTAAAGCTACCATTAGCCACTGTGGTATGCACGCTTCTTTTTTTAACAGCCCCAAAAAGAGGGTCTTTCAGCTGTTCAAAGAAGTGAAAAAATCAAGGACTTAGTTGGAGACATTTGGATTGGATTTGGAAACTTTGTGAATTTTTTTTTTTCTTTGACCACAAATACAACAGAAACGCTGGATGGTATGCTGCTTTTCAGGGGCACTGATGTGAAATGTTAGCATCCTAATGCCATCAGGGCAGCTTTATTTAGACATGCACGGGATCTATTCTAAAGGATGGTGAAGTCATATTCAGGTCATATTTTGAGCAGCTGTCTTCCTGGGGATCTCGCCGTTGGTCCCATGTCATCATCTTTAGAGCGGCTCAGTTGATAGTGATGCATCATCAAAGTATTAGCATTTGTTTAGACATTAGTGGGGTTACACTGTGTCTAAGAATAAGATGACCCACTTATAAGACACGTGACTTTTTGGTGCCCAGAAATATCTGGAGAAGGAATGGACCAGCTGTTTTTTTTTGTTTGTTTGTTTGTTTAGATAAAAGACAAAAAGCCATCATCTGCCCCTACGTTTTTACTTTATTTGTCAAATCCCTGTTCTACTCTTATACCAGCAATTTAACCAACAAGAGTAAAGGAAAATGTCTGGATTGGCTGTGGTTTACTTCAAGCCCAGACAGAGAGCTGTCGCTGACCCAGTGACTCAGTGATTTTATCATGCAGCTTTCATAATGAGCAAGAATCTGCTCAGGAAAACAATTTTAAGAGGAAGGCATCATCAGATTCCCTTGAGGCGTAAATTAAATCTATAGCCACATTTGCAGTGGTGGCGCCACCGGGTCCAGACTGGTCAACATGTGTCTTGGAAGTTCTTGTTGGACCAGTTCCAAATCGAAGGTGCAAATCTGGCCTTGGCTTTAGGATCAACCAGGATACAGTTAGAGAGTTAAACTATTAAAAGCACAGATGGATTTATCAGGTTAGTGGGAGAAGGCATAAAAGAAAATCCTAAAATATCCTGAGCAGTTGTTAATGGCCAATTTCCTGTTTGGCCAATCCCATGCTTACGAAGATAAACAAAGACTCGGTAGATTGTTCACATGCTCTTAAATGGATACTAATTTACTCGAGCTCTCATTAAATTAGCCCTCACACTGATGGGGCAGCAAAACCCTGTGGGAGCAACGTGAAGAACATTGTTTGTGGAATTTCAGTAATGTTTGCCTTATGGTCCTAACTGAGCTAAAGCGAAGGTCAGACCTGCAGGCTTCAGCTACGGAGGGCGGACAAGAGTTGACCTTGGATCGGTTGTGAAGCAGATGTCCTCCTGTGAGAGTTGAAGCTGCTATAGCATTATTTATTTGTAGTTCCTTCTGTGCTATTGATTTATTCTTGTATTATCATCTATTATAATGCATGAGAATCTACAGAGACTGAGCAGATGTTATTATGTCATGGGTCATACCAATAATCAATCGTGGTTTTCACCAGAGAAGTTATATATAAGCACAACTGTGACCTTGTGTTTGTACCAGAGTCTTAACAACCATCGATGTGTGCATTCCAAATTCACAGGAAGCAGCTTTTCACTCCACTGTGATTCTGATACACTTCCTATCCAAGCCCAGTATCCCACTGCAGGGAAATCATCTATCCAGGGCAGAAAGAACTGATGAGCAGCAGCAAAAATAAGTGGGAGGTAAAATGCGGGGGGAAGAAATAAAAGCAAAGCCAAACAAGTTAGATATTTAGTTGAACACTCCCTGTCTCTGTACGCCCTCCCTCCCCCTGACAAACACTGACATTCACACCAGCACTCGTGTACAGGAGGACTCTTGTAGGGCGCCGTTGCCATTCAGCGACACTCACGCATGTTTTGCATCCCTCACTGTTTGTCAAGGCTATATATAGAGGCCTGGTGCTTTCTGTCTGGCACCTTTATTTCTGTGGAACCAGAAAGTGTCAAGATTTTCTCCTGTGCTACCCTAACGAGTTCAATGAACGTCACGACTTCTTTAAATGAGATGGATATCATGTGACACTCCTTATAGGGAGCACATCATTTATGTGGGCCACAGGATGTATCACCACCTGCTTTTTGTTTACCAGTTCTCCAGTGGTCAATAGGATGTAGGTCGTTTAAACATTAGGTCACCTCAGCTAACCTTTAGTAGATAACTATGTCTTGTGAAGCTGAATACAGTTTTAGGTGTAGTTAGTAGTTAGTAAGGTGTAGTAAAAATCTAAAATGTGTTTATAAAATTTCTGTTGTTCTGCTTCAGAAGAATACAGCTCCACACCTTGGAAGTTTCTTGGCTCTCAGTACAGCCAGAGAGAGCATTTTCTTTGACCTATTTACTATCACTAACTGATTTGTTAAATTTAAGTTTTAAAAATAGTTAAATTTCCTATGTAATCCACTACAGGCGTTACTTTGTATTTGTTCAAGCAGCAAACGTCTCTCTGGCTCCACACACCAACGTCCCTGCTCGATAACCTCCGTCTACTCAGAGTGTCTCTGATAAGGTGGATGCCGTTGCACCCCTGAGGCTCAGCTGCAGTAGGGATGTGGATGGTAATGTGGATGTTTTTGAACTGAAACCTTTTTTTTGGGTGGGGGTGGACTTGACCGCCCAGGCACTTTGGGCAGCAGCAGCACACTCTGTCAGACAGTCACTGCTGACAGACCTCTCATAAGTAAATAAGTCTATAAATGGGCAAGCCCTCTCTTCACTGATCTTCTTCCCTACCCCCATCACACACACACACACACACACACACACACACACATACTGTCAGCTCCTTGTCCCCACAGTGTGTTTTCTCTTTCCTCCTCAGTCGCTATGTCATTGAAAACAGTCGAACCACTTCTCTCCTCTTTCCACATAATTGGCCTGTGTGCCACGGCCATGACATTTATTGTTTGTTTTGTTAGTGAAAAGGCTTTGAGGAAAAGCAGTCAAATCCTACAGCCACTTCATTAGTGTACTTGCTAATGTTTTGGCAATTATTTCACTTAGAGCTGATCCTCTTTCCTTTAAATGCGATTGGTTTTGAATTCAATACCACCATCTTTCTTAAAATCCACTTGCCCGTGCATTTTCATTCCCTCGCTCTCTCAGACAATCCCCTAAACCCTCTAAGAGTCATCACCTCCCCTCATTCTACGGCCTCTTCCATCTCTCCATCTCTGTGCGTGTCTGAGCAGTAGCTCCCTCCTAAAACAAGCCTCCCTGCTCTGATCCTACCAAATTCCTCTTTCTCTTTTACTCTTCCAATCTGTGGTCCAGCTGTTTCACATTAGCACATCCACAGTTGAGGAAGCCAAAGCAGACTAGTGTTTGGAAATGTGAATAAAGCAACAAAAAGCCATAGACCCAGGCTTTCTTCCTTTTCTGGCTCTAAGCTCCTGAGATGCAACAAAAGGATGAGGGTGTGATATTTTTGCAGGACCGTGGGTTTATGAGACGAATGATGGTGACCACGTGACAGTACAAAGAGAAATGAAATGCTGATTTATTCTGTATATGTCATTTCAGGAACGTGTCCAAGCCTCCTCTCACCGGCGGTGGACATCACAAATCTGGCTTGAACTCCTACTTCCTGATGAATGCTGCGATCGCTGCAATTATTTTGGAGCCGTGTTCGCTCAGCGTGCAGTTGAGAATGTAACTTGAGCTCCAACCCTGAGGAACTGTACCCTCTAGAACTCTTACAGCACTTACAACGTGTCTACCCTGCATATCTGAGCTCTTAGATCCAAGACACAGCCATGCCAGCGAAGGCGCCCATATACCTGAAACCCACCAATAACAAGAAAGGAAAGAAATGTCGCCTCAGAGATATGCTGTCACCTGATATGATCAGTCCCCCTCTCGGGGACTTTCGGCACACCATTCACATTGGGAGGGGTGGGGAGAGAGATGCCTTTGGAGACATGTCCTTTCTTCAGGGAAAGTATGAGCTCTTACCAGGAAAGGCAGACGTCTACCCTCAGTACAGCATCCAAAGTGAGTTTCTGCGAGCAAACAGTACTGGTGATGCTTCTTTTGCTGAGACTCCCTCGCCAGTCCTCAAGAATGCCATCTCTCTTCCATCCATTGGCGGCTGTCAGGCCCTCACCCTTCCACTGATCTCCTCCTCTGTTTTCTCCATGCCCCCCGAGCCACTGGGGGACATCACAGGGCCTAAACCTCCCATGAAATCTGAGAGCGACGAAGCAGTAGAAATTCTGCAGATGGATGCTTTGTTGCACACAATGGACGTCTTCATCAGCGAGCCGTCATCTCCGTCCACAGACATCCAACCGAAGCCTGATGTCCTCTTGGACCTGCTGGAAAACACAGACAGGTCCACCTCCAAGACCATTGCCAAAGCCAACAAAATAAATAAGAGTGAAAGCAGGTTTGACAAGCCACCATCGTATTACATCAATGGCCACAGCAATGGAATATATCTGAACAGCAATACAAACACAATCAGTTTTGGAGACTATACAAAGAGCTGCAACGGTAAGATGAGCCTCAGCAACAATGTCAACAATGGGTTTGGACACTTTAACAATGACAAAACACTGGCCTTCACACAGGAGCTCTCCAAGTGTAACACAGAGTGGGTGGACAGGGACAGTGGTGTGGAGGAAGGACGCATCTGTGATTTTGAGGTGGAGTTTTCTAAGGAGAAAAGCAAGTCCCAGGATTCTCTTACCCAGATCACTGGGTCATTCCTGTCCCTCGAACTCGATCTGGGCCCATCCATCCTGGATGACGTGCTCAACATAATGGACAAACCTGCAGCCAAGAGCAGGCCCTGAGCTGTGGTCTAGGCCTGGAGAGGAGATGGAGAAAAGAGACTCTCAAAGCAATCATACCGGTGTCTGGATATATCATGGATGTGAATATAGACAGAAATGCTAATGTTTTTATTGTCAAAACACCATAATCTTCCTGCTTCTATGGAGTGCTTACTTTCTATTTGTTCTTGACCACGTCGTCAGCCGCATGTTTATGATGCATGTGATAGTAAATGTCATTGTGCCTTAGATTTTGTTTTACATTATTGGTTTTATGTTGGTTTTTACAGCATAGCTTTATGGCCCTCTGTTTTAAGCTGCCAGTTCTTTTAAAACGTATAGCATTCTGTGGATTTAATTGTGTTTAACAAAGCACTACAACATGTATCACAAACTTCTTTCCATTTCCCACATGACGACAGAAACTATGCATATTTGTGTTCATAAGATTGTAACACAAATAAATTCATTTTGTGCCATTTTTTGTGATTTTTTTTACAATATAATAGAGGCTAATTTCAATTTGCAGAAAAGATAATGTACATTTAAAAAATGACATATCTGTAGTTCGGTGAAACATGAATAAAAAGTCACAGAAAGAGAGTGACAGAAACAAGGACAGAATAGATTGATTTTCTCGCCTCTGACATTCCTGACATTCTGCTGCCTTGCCCAGTGGGAGCATCGGTGGGTCTTCATCTGCCCAACCAGGCGCCTGCTCCATTTGTTTGCGTGTGGACAGGACAAGCAGAGGAGGGGTCTTTGAAATTCCCTGCATTCCAGCCATAGAGCACAAGTGTCCAGGACCAGACATAAATCAGCTGTTTCAAGAGAAGAGGGAGGGCTCGGGTCCTGGAGCCACACTATTCATCAGCCGTGGCCCTGTATGAACAGAGAGATGAGGCTATAAAACATGTGCTTACAAACTGCAGGCAAACTTTGGTCAGTGCTGAACGATAGACGAGTCCTGGTCTCTCCAGTCAAATGACAATAAAGAAATGTTGACCCAGGAGGGTTAGAGAAACAGCTCGGATGTGAAGGCCCGCAGTCATTAACCATACATGAACTCAGACACCCCTTGGCTGTGGCCTCCACAGTCCCTAGGGGTCTTCTCAAGTAGACACTCAGAGCATGACAGTGCAGACTCACAGCAGGCTCCCCTCAAACAACCACGTGCCACTTTGTCATGTGCGTGCAGAGAAAACAAGATAATCTCCGATGCAGCCATTACCCATTTCATGAGCAAATAATTATCCGGGTTTAATTCCACTATTGCCAGTGAGCAGGCAAATGTGGGGAACCTCTGCAAATACCTCAAAGGTCTTAGAATGTCAGTTAACAACCGCAGCTAAATAGCAGAGGCAGCTGAGGCTGATGTAAAACCAGATGTTAGAGAAGACATCTCATGTCATGGCAGATGCCACAGCCACTGGAAAATACCAGAAAGTGCATTGGAGTAGCACAGACTTAGAGCTACAACACATAACTTCACACAAGTGATGAAAACCTATGCAGTACGGGTAGACTAATGACTATACTTTTACCTTTAATGGTGCAGTACAGTCCAAGTCAGTTTTACTAGCTCCAGACCTTAAACAAACTTCCTGAGATTTACAAAAGAACTTGCAACCACAGCACTGTAATTTCTTATGTAACATTACAACAGGTCCTGTAGACCTGTCAATGTTTCCTGGTATGAAGAATTACCAACATCATTCATGATATATTTTCATTTCCCCCCAATTTTGGACGATTTTTAAATTGCAGCTTACTGTATAAATTAGCTTAAATTATAAGATAACAGCAAAAAAGGCAGTAGCAGATAAAAGTCAGTTCATTTAGCTTTCGATTATTCAATTATACACAGATTATCGACATCGAGAGTGAGCTGTAAATCTCATTAAAGTTAATATTGATCACTGGTTTGGGTAAAAGGTCAATTAACTTTGCTAAGCTTTGATAAAAGACCATCCCTTTCGTAAATACATTTCTACCGAATGGTCTCTAAAGAGTGTCTTATTATAAATGAACAGTCCTCCTTTTCACATGTAAGATTTATATTTTCAAACCATTGATAACAAAACCATCTGTTTTTTACAGCCTTACAAGTGTGTTGGCTTCCAGTAGAGACAGAGTGGAGTGTAATGTTTTGGTTTTGGCTCCAGGTTTCTATGAGGAGCCCTAAGGCTACGAAAGATTGTGCCAAAGATGGCAGATAGAAATATGTTTTTATTTATTTATTTTATCCTTACCAGCTCTGTGTTCAAATTTAATTGCAAATAAACCATAACTCCAACTGTTTCTGCTGTTCCTTTTTTTACACAACGAGATGCTGTACAGCCACACAAACAGGCGGCTCATTGTTGCTCCCACAGTCTCAGAAAACAATTCTCCAATTGTAATGCTACCAAATCACCACAAGAGCATCGTTCTTTGTTTGGTGTTTTCTTCTTATATCTCCGAGGACTCACTCATCACCATTTGATGCGCAATTAATTCAAGCGACGGTTGTAACTTGCTGAATGTCAGCTGTAGGCTCGTTAGTGTAAAAATGATTATGCTAATATGCTAACAGAAATGTCAACCAACAAATTAATAGATTAAACAGTTAATAAAGACTTCTAAAATAGTTTTAAAAGGGTAAAGATTTTTAAGAACCCAATAGTTAAGCATGATTAGCTTACAATTTGCATACGACTAAAAGACTTAACATTTAAAAAATATAACTAAAATAAAGACTCAAAATAACATAGAAAAAAATAGTTCAAATTTAGCTGAAAAATAGTAACGTTATGCAGAAAACAGGGAAATGACTCTAGAAATTATGCTAAAAAACCCAAAAGGTTGAAAAAGACCCATCTACCTGATAGTTCATTGTTATGAAAAGAAAGTTGTAGTTGCCTGAGTTTTCATCACAAAAACAGTATAGAGAAAATTCCCAATTGCTATCTATTTCAAATATAAATTCTTAAAGTCTGTTGGTGATCCAGTAGATCCAGTCTCTCTACTTCCTGGGCTAAGGTGAAGCCGTCAGTTCACACATGAATAAACCTGGGTCGACAGGCGACCGGTGCCAAAGAAAGCACAGCTCAGACACAGCACAATTTTTCACCCAACCTGCTCAACAGAGCTGTATTATGTCCGTGCTGTGTTTCACATAGGGGAACTGGTGAAAGAACTCCGACAGTTGGAGTTGGACTTGAGCTGTGTCAGGCGGATGAGAAAGGAAAGTTAAATGAGATGTTTCCGTGGCCCTGGATGGAGACAGCAGAGCAGCAGGATAAAGCCCCTCTTGTTTTCACCTGCTCTAAATGTTCTGCTGCACTTAATTGAGCCCAGAAACTAAGACTCCACTTTCCATTTCACCAAATGAATGAGCAGAAGGAAATATCTGAGGTATGAGCGAAGCCTTTCTCAGAAATGTTATTGTTGAATATTTCTCTAGCTTGCAGGGGACATATCACTCACTGTTGATATAAACTGTACATGCTCCTGAAGTGAATGCCATAGGTTTGATAACTGGGGCCTCAGTAGCAGAAGTTTCTTGGGAACATTTACTTTGGGATGACAGACCTAAGCTTGGGTTTATGTGTACTGTAGATTTGCTGATTTTGCAGTGTAGAGCTGCAGCTCTCTTACAAAGACAACAATAGAGAGAGATGATTGTCAAGGGTTGAAGAAAATGAGTTTGAGCAGGAGTTGATGCAGAGCAGATATGAGCGAGCATGCATGCAGACGCAGGTCTGGCAGCCCGTGGGTAGATGAGGTTTACACTGCACTGTTGTCTGTTGTTTAGCTAACAGTAACCATAGCGAGTGAAGTTTGCATCTGCAGCACGTGAGGACTAAGCTTAGAGGCCCTCCTCTAAGGGAGGATGAGATACCAGAACAATGCTGTGACGAAGCACAGGCAGCCGTGAAGGTGCTGCTGCTGCTGAAAGCAAAATAAAAACACTGGTTACTTGGATGTGGTGGAATTCCTAAACATCCTAGAATTTGTCCAAGCTTTTTTTATTTTTGGTAAAAGTAAATGACCTACTAAACGACTAGATAGATAATACACAGTTATACCTACGCATACATTTTACATAACTGGTAAATAAGACTTTCAAACTGTATTCAAACTCAATGCAGAGTAGGAAAAATCTGTTATTTTTGAGTGGAAAAGGAAATCACAAACTAAGTCAGCACATTGAAATGATGTTCATTTAAAAATTGAACAGAAACTTAACAATAAGTATTATAAGTAAAAAAAAGTGTCTAAATGTTGCCCTTTAGAGAAACGTGTTCTTGTACTGCATTAAATACCACATTGCACTAGATGGACTTCATGTACGGCACATCACCTATATGGATGAGCGTTATATCAGTGAGCTTCAGGATAAATACTGCAATGTTGCTCTGAGACCTCAGGCTCGGCACAAAGTCTGGGTAAGCCATTTTGCATCAGCCTAATATACAAACACCCTTATACTGCAAACTATTCATGAATTATTCACGTCTATCTTTAATCATTTCAGCATGGTAAGAATAGGAGTGTAAATGAGCCCAGCAGGACAGGCATGTACTGTACTGTATATCTGTACTAGCCTTCTAAGGCAGCACGAGGCCTCGAAACCGACTTCTGAGATCATGTGGGTCTTTCTAAAAAACCTTGTCTATATTTTGTCCCTTTTTAAATGGCATGCCCCCAACCCAGGGCAGCAGCTGCCCATGAGGGTGCTCTCTTTCTGCTGACAGTCTATATTCACCCAGAGGAGGTATTTATATTTGCTCTTTGCTTCATTTCTTCCTCTGTAAATACCGCCAATGCCACGCCTGGAAGGGAGGGTGTGAAAGAGGAACAGGCTCAGGGGTTTGTCTCCTTATAGAAACGGGTGACATCATGCAGCACGTTCCCCACTCGCAGAAAAACAACAACATGTTACCCCTGTGAGGTGACCGAACCCAGTCACCTCTGGAGGCGCTCATTTTCACCTTCAACACATCTGATCAATCAGAGTGTTTTTGATCACCATTCATGTCCAGTCGTGTTTAAAGGCCTTCATTCTGCCACCACCAAATGCAATCTGATGGTTATGTACAATGCCATTCCATTATGTGATGATGTCAGTAGAATAACTGAGTTGAGCCTATCAGCTCCAGGAAACACCTGCTGAGTTTTCTAATCATAGAGGTGCATAGGTTTGGTATCATTTTCTCACACTATGATAAAAAATGTTTCCCCAAGTTAGTCCAGTTAGAACAACAGCAACAGGGTTTACAAAACAGTTTTTAAATGAACGCAGCATAGACCAAATATTTACCATAAGAACCTCCCTAAAAATGTTGAAAAACAAGAAAAAAACCAAGCTAGATCCTATATAATATATATAATATATATTTCTAATACATAGGAGGTTTATTAAACTTAGAAACATAGTTATTTTGGATAACTTTTAAATACATTCTTAGCATATGATTTTGTCCCTTGTTGTATC